TTCTCCTCTTCCCTCCTTTCCCAGGTTTGCACTCCCTGTCGAAGAAGTAGGACAACAGTTTTTGCATCTGGCTCTGTTTTCTAGGGGGCTCAAACTTACCACTTTTTACTTTATAGCACAGCTGCTTACGCGTGTACTTTTCCCCACTTAATAGACTACCTAATTATTACAGGCACTTTTCCACCTCTCTAGTACAATATCCCAGATGAGTGCTTAGCATAGTGTTGTTGCTTAAGAAATGTCTGTGTTATGAATGGCCAAAGACTGGAAAATGTCAAGTCAATAGGGATCTGAAGACTCTGAACTGACACACCTAATATGGAGGGATGGGAGGAGAGTATGATCTTACATATGACTTCTGTTCACAGGCCAGTGAGTTGTTAATATGACCAAGGGCTGTTGGATACACTGGAGCATAATTCAACCGAAGGATGGTTTCTGTCTTATCCCAGTACTGTAGTGTATACAATGAGACAAAACGTAGGAAATAATGAGGTTAGACTCTATCTGGAAGAGAAGACAGACACACTGGGGAGCAGATAATAGGGAAAATATAACTGGACTTTCCTTAGTTTTGTGAGTGTGAGACATATTTATTTCCCCATTATTTTGGGGAAAGGGTATAAAGGTAATGGCCTCACACCTTTCATAGTAGGTGCAGAGGAGAAAGGCAAATTCATAAAGGAGCTGGAGAGCCCCCTGGGAAAGAGACTGACCTGATTAGAACAGATTACGGACTGAATATTTATATCTCCCCAAAATTCCTATGCTGAAATCCTAACCCCCAGTGTGATGGCATCAGGAGGTGGGGCCTTTGGGAGGCCATTATGTTATGAGAATGGGGCCCTCACAAATGGAACTGGTGCCTTTATAAAAAGAGACACAAGGAGCTTCCTGTCTCTCTACTCTCCACCATATGAGGATACAGTGAGAAGACAACTATCTACAAACCAGGAAGAGATACCTTCCTCACTGGACATCTTGGGCTCAGACTTCTTAGCCTCCACAACTTCAAGAAATAAATGTCTGCTGTTTAAACCACCCAGTCAATGTTATTCCGTTCCAGTGGCTTGAACAGGATAAGCCACGACATCAGGAGGACTAGGATGGTCCCAGCTGAGGTCTACAAAGGGGGCAGGAGACCACGGCCTCTAAGAACAGGATTTACCTGAACGAACTAGAAGCCCCTCTACTGACCCTTTCCCCAAACCACCACCACAACCACCTCACCACCTCTAATACAGACTTCTTCCCATCAGGGATCATTGTGGCTGGAACCTTGCTGCCATGTGTGGCCCTGAAGCTGCTGTGGCCTGTGCTCATATCTGGGTCCACAGGAAATGGGCACAGCAGTGGAGAGGGCCCAATCAGTCTGTACCAGGGCAGATCTTAACAAGGGCACCTGGGGAAGGAGCTGACACGGGATGCATCCATAACTGGGCAGACTGCAGCCTCTAACTCTCTCTCAGCTCTGTATCTGGAAGCAGGACCAGGCTCTTTGGACTATGTCCCTGGAGTTCTTGGACCTCAAGACAGTAATGGTAGTCTTCCTTCTAATGAGGGCTCAATCAGTTAATTAAAAATTAAAAGATGTGACCACTTTCTTAAGATGATGAAGTGATTCCTCCTGGTCATTCCAGCACTTGCTCAGCCATCTGCAAGAAGGACATTCTGTTGACCGCAGCCTTTCTAGGGTGCCAGGTGTAGCTGTGGATTATTGGAAAGTGTGACCCATGCAGAGAAAAACAAAACAGGAGATGGACAGAGGAAAGGAGATGAGTAATTGCACCTGTCAGAAAATGAGGATATGGTTAAGCATAACACCCGGAACCTATGAGTTTTGTGGAGGAAAACACGAGTGAAAACACTAGGAATTATTTGGCTTCAATCTCCCCGGAGGAGGTGGAGTTGATCTTTTGGGCTCCATGGCCTGTATTGCATTCCAGCCAACACTATTAAAAGTGCCTGCTCACACTTGGTGGTTAGCACAGCATTTCACAACCCCTGACCTGCTGCCCATCCTGCAGATACAGGGAGCTCTGAATGTGTAAAATGCTATTTTTAAAACAACCAAATAGTTCCATATTGCCCCGACTGCAGCACAGGGGAGGAGCTGATTGCCTCCCCAAGTCTTTGGCACCAAAGGGCTTTGCTGTGGATGCCTTCTTCCTGCTGTCATACCATCCTGATCAAGATTAATTGTTCCAGTTGAAGTGAGTCACTCAGAAAGGATGGGAAGGGTGGAAGGAAGAGGACAGTTTCCTTTTTTTTTTCCTACTTCAATGTTTGTTCTAGAAGATCCAGGAGAATAAAGGAGTGAAGTAAAGGAATTTAAAGTGTGGAACATGTAATAAAGGACATCAGGTGAAAAATCTATTCCAGGCTCCATGTTTATCTTCAGCTCAGTGGCTTTCAGAAGAGCATGGCCTTGGCTGGGCAGCCTGGAGGATGGGACTCTTCTCTGCCAGTTGGAGCCTTGACCTGAACTCTCAAAAACCCAGCTGACCTCATCAAGCTCCATCTGCCCTGAATAATAAGGAGGGACAGCCTCCCCAAGACAGGCTCATACACACATACACTCCAGGTATATATACTGGAACCTCCAAAGACTATTTTGGGTGAAGAAGTCATATGTGGCCCCAGAAAGAAATTAAGAAAAGGAAAATACATAGCCACTAAACTCCAGCCTGCACCACACAGGAAATAAATATTATTTGTAGAGCAGCTTCGACTTACTGGGCATTAGTGCAAAGGTTTATTCCTTCTGTGTCACATCTCTAAGGCTCAGACGTTCACATCCCCTCTGAGTATGGCCCCCTGGCTAAGCCCCTTACACTGCATTGTAGGTTAAGTGGGTCTGGGGGAAGCAGCTCAGGGTATTTGGGGAGTATTTGTAGAATACTTATAGAGACCTCATCCAAGACCCATGATCACTACTCTTATTCCAAACTGAAAACATCTATTATCTGTGCTTTTTTCTCCATCCCACTATCTTAACAAGAGGAAGAAAGGTTAGGCAAGGGAGGAAATGCATGGTTTTGCCAATTTCATGCATTCAGTGGGAATCAAGTTGTCATGATCCACTGGGAAGAGAATTGGGCAGGGTGTCAGGAGACTGGAGCACACAGCATCCAGCTAGACCCTGGTGCATTCACTGTCTATGGGCAAATGAGTGAATGAGTTTGGGTGTGAATTCTTGGGAAACCAGGAGGCACTCAAGCAGACAGGATGGCCAAGGAATCCACAGAGGAATGAAGGGCCCAGGAGGGAGGCCACTGGGACCCAAATGCCAGGGTCCAGGGCTTGCTTGGCATTTTGTTTGGTTGTGCTGCTTTTTTGTTGACCTTTCTCCTTCATTCCTGTCCCCACTTACTTTTGCACGGGAGAGAGAAGATCAAGGATCTAGAAAGGCAGGGAAGGTATTTTATTGGCCAGAATTTGGGAAGGCCTCATATTCCTGCTTCATCAATATGTCTTACCCATTGGTTGGAGATGGGTCTTCACCTCCTGGCACCTCTCGGGCCCTGTAAATTCACGCTTTTTAATTTTTACAGAGCAGTTTATAGGCCGAAAAGAGGGAAGCTGGGGGATCCGTTGTCAGGGGCTGCATTGAGCAATGAACCATCCTCTTGGTTTACTTTTTCTTCCTTCCCTCTTTGACGCTTGTAAATGAGCATTTAGACCCTCTGAGGGAGATGGGAAAGGGCTCTTTGGGGGCAAGTCATGAAAGAGTAGAAGGGTTGTGAAGAGGCCTTCAGGAAATTCTGAGACACTGGTCTGTCTCAACTTAGTTATTTGGGTGGGGGCGGGGCAAGAGAAAATGTAGCAGATCATCTTTACAACCTATCCTGAAAAGTCCAACCTTTGAGGAGAAGGGAAATGTGTGACCTGATGATTTAAGCCAGAACTGCTTGCTGTGTTTAACAGCTCACATTTTGAGAGCAGTGCTCTGGGAGGAATGTAGTAGGATCTGAAGAATCGGAAGCTGTAGAATTCTCTGGCTCTCTGGTACTCCTCAGAGTATCATGATTTACAAGCTACATCCCCACAGCAGCTAGTCACTTAGAGATGATAATGGACAGACCAGCCAAGGCATGAGCAACAAAGATCTGAAGCTAAACTCGAGAAACATGTTCTGCATATGAGTATCAAGTAGGGGGCAAGGAAAGTGTCTCAAACTTTGTTTATCAATAGACCAAAGCTGGGAAAAACGACTAGGAGTTCAAGTGTCCCTGCCTTTTTAAAGCTTGAGAACCCAACCATAAGGGAAGGTTAGAACAACTGAGGAATGATCTTCATCATCACCCTGCCTTTAGGTGTACATTTATTAAAAGCTTAGTGGATGCCAGGCATCTTATAAGCACTTTGCCTGCATGATCACACACCATTGCTCCTGAGACAGGATGTGATTATCTGCCTCTTCTAGGTCAAGGGAAGGGGAGGTGTCTCTCCCCCATATCCTGCAAAGGAGTGGCAAAGAGGAGAAACCTCAACTTCTGCCAAGATCTAAGCTCAGTCTTTACAGGTGAGAAGGCAGACACTCAGAGGATCTTAGCCCATATTCAGACTTCCCCATCTTGCCTTCCTCCCAAAGAATAAACCAGTTTAATGCTAGTATTATGGAAGCTCCAAAGGAAGAGAGAAGAGGAAAGTAGCTTTTAGAAAAAAATAATTAGTCCTCTGGTTCCACAGTGAATTCAGGAAGATCCTAACAATGAGGGTTTGAATACTTCATTCTTTGAATTGCAATGGTTCTGTTTGATTTGGGAAGACTTCTGGGAGAAGCCCCAGTCCGCTAATGGAACCCCCTACTTCTCCTAACCCTGACCCCTTAGGAAGGCATTCTGCAAGGAACTAGGAGGACTTGAGCTCTCAGTGGGTAGCAGAGTGGGAAGAAAGGTGGCCTTAGGTCAGCATCTGCAGAGAACTACCAACAGCAGCTGTCCTTTAAGCCTAACAGGCACAGAAAGTGTGGTGTGCAATCACTTCTCTTCACTCACCTTTGATTTCTGTTGTTAAAAGCCTCTTGAGTTTTCTTAGTAAGTGTCTCACACCAGAGTTGGGCAGAGGGGAGGTGTTAAGGTTTATGCCTAAGGAAGGTGAGGAGGGAAGAAAAAATATTACCATAAAAAACATACTGGAAAAAGTAGAAATGGAAAAATTCTACTAGGGACACATTCAATATGATTAAACTATAAATTCTTCTGAGAAGAGGTGTGGAGGGGGAATGGATGGCGATGCTAATAAATAGGGCATACTTAGAATCTCCAAAAGAGCAGGAAACCAGACTCCTTCTAAGAGCAAGGGTAATGCATTTAGAGAAGTAACACCAGGATTGTCACAGACAGCCCTGCTTTGTACAACACGGCAAGGCATAGTGCCAGGACCCACGTACAATTCACAAATCCCTTGGATTATCAAGAATTTTATTTGCCTTTAGAGTGGACCAGCCTTGTATACCATAAACATTTCATTCAGGCATTAAGTTCTGGACTCTGCATCTCACTTACTTAGCACCACCCCTGCTGAGAGCCTCCCTTCCAGCCACTTTCTTTAGCTGAGCCTGATGCGATTAAGCTCCGCTCTCTAGTTGCTTAAAGCTGCAACTGTCTTTCCATATATCACTTACTCTCCAGTGTCCCCTCAGGTTTAAGTCCAGATGCTCTGGTGCTGTGGGCAGAATAATGACTCCCCAAAGATCTAGCTCCCACATCCTGATCCCAAAAAACTGTGACTATGTTGCCTTACCTTCTTTCCAAAGGAGCTTTGCTAATGTGATTCCATTAAGGACTTTGAGATGGAAAGATTATCCTGGGTTATCCAGGTGGGCCCAGTGCAGTCACAAGGTCCCTGCAAGATGGGAGAGAGGGCAGAAAAGACAGAGGTGGTGTGGTGGTAGAAGCAGAGAGTAGCGTCACGTCTTCAGGAGCGTCTCCTGCGTCTCCATTACAAGGTCAGGCCCCTTAGTATTGCCTCCCTCTGCACTGCGTCCTTCACCTTTCAGCAACCAGCACCACCACAAGTGCCAATGGGTTTGTGTGATTATTTGACTAACGTCAGTGTCCTTTCCAAGCACACATGAAGACAGGGACTCTGCCAGACTTTGCTTCCTTCTGAAGTCCCAGCCCACAGCAGGCACTTAATAAATATTTGTTGAATAAATGAGCAAACGGAGGGGTGAGCAGGATCTGAACCTCCTATGGTTCCGAGTATTCTTTAGTGTGGGTGGAAACACAGCAGTCCACGGGGGGCCCCACTGACTTGCTCTTTGCCTTTTGTTTTCCTATCTTGCTCCAACCAGACTACTTATCTTTACCTATAGTCTTAATACCTTTCTGCTGAGAGAAAGCAGAAATCTGTAACACCAAACAGTGGCTCAAGGAGTTGGAAAATTTCCTTTTTCTATGTGATGATTTGTATTCAGATTATTCTGACTTTAACTCTTGACCTGATCGCCCCACCAGTGCACGGTGATCTTTGTTATTAGACTGGAGACCTCCTGTTGCTGTCCTCTTCTCTGAATGTGAAAAACCATCTACTGATGCCAAGACTGAGGTCTCAAGACCAGTTGTGCAATACCCCAGGGGGATCCCATTTTCAAATCATTACAACAAACTTTATTGAAATTCACTTTAACTTCAGTGCAGTCCTGCATATATTTTTAAAGGAAGCTATGGGCAATATTACAAAAAATAAAGTAAACAAGCTCTACTCAGACAGTTATCACACACCCTCATGTGTAAAACTGAAATAAAGCCTTTTGGCTGCACTCTCCTATTCCACAATTGATCACTTCTGTCTATAGAGTAAGGTTAGAAGATGCCCACAGGTGACCCTCACAACTTATTGGGGAGGGAGACAAGGCAGGTAGCACTTATGCTTTAGTTCCTAAAGTCACAAGGTTTCCCTGGTGCTTTATCTTTCTGTTTCCCTGGTGCTTTATCTTTGTTTCATTGGAGCCTCTAATGTTAACACATGGGAACCTTGGGTAAGTATTTTTTTGAAGGAATAAATGAATGCCTGGCTTCTTTCTAATAGAGCATTTCTAATTGGCTTGCCCAACATTATCAGTTACTAAATGAAGGGCCTTGGATTTGCCACCCAGCCACCTGGCTCCAAGTGCAGTACCCTTTCCTCTCTGCAGGCCAGGAGAGGGCTCCTGAAGAAAGAAGAGGGGTGGTGGCGATGGAAGTTTTAAACACCGTTTTGCATTTAAGAGTGCTGTGTGAACGGTGGACACATGGCAGGAAGTTTAAGTTTCTTCAGGCAAAGAAAAGCAAGCACAGAAGCCAGAAAGCACTCAGTTTACTCGGTCCAGCAGCAGGAAGAATGTACACAATGCACACAAATAAATGAGCAGAGACACCTGGGATCTTATCCCACACCAGCTGTGGCCCCATAAACCAGAGAGAACCCCAAACCCCAGCAAGGTGAGCATATCCTGACATGGCATTCAGTCCAACTCCGGGGATTCTATAGCCCTCAGGATATTTAAAGATGCAAAAGACTTGGAAGAATATATTTCTGGCCCATTAAAGCAAGCTTATTTTAAAATATTCAACATTTCTTTATTAAAGGCAAACAGGCAGGATATAAGCTCTATAAACTTTCCAAGTAGAGAACATTGCTAGCATTCCAAATGGAGAAATTGGTGCCTTGTGTGAGAACCAAGTCTTGCCTATTTCATTTTGCAGGTGGCCACATACAGAATATTTTTCTTATAAGATCATAATGCATAATGAGCTTTTGAAAATGGAAGTTGTAGCTGGACTTTTCTTGCTGCCTCATTATTATACCAGTTAGGGAGGAGGTTTGTGGTTAATTCTTAGAGCAGGCTTTCCCAAAGAATACCATGTCTTACAGGCAGGGCTTTGCAATGCCCTCAAATTATACTGCATATGATGTCAGCTGGGGCCTCCCTATCCTACAGAGATAAGCCTGTCTCTCAGATTTGCAGGGCCTGGGGTAAGACTACCAGTGGAGATTCCTGGTACCAGCCCTTTCTCTTCCCATCCTAGACTCCATTCAGTACCAGGAGGGGCTCACATGTATGAATGTAGACATCCTAGGGTCCAACACCCAGCTTCCATCCACATCCTTGCAAACAAAGTTCCACGGACAGTCCTTCAACCCAGAAGTACACACAGTGTTGGGGTGACCCACTCTACAGAGGCACATAGGCAATAGGCCTTTGTTGTCCTAGGAAGCCAGCTGGGAACCACCTGACAGGGGATTGCAGGGCCCCATGGATCCGGAAGGGTACGGGTTCCTGACTTGCATATCCCAGACTCCACAAACTCCTTACTCCAAAGCAAGCAACACAGCTGAAGAAGAGCTAAAAAGGGGCTGCTGAGGTGCAGGGCCCAGAAGAGGGACTCTGGTTGCCATGGTCTGGGTGGCACTAGTCAGATTTAGGGAGCCTTGATTCAAACTCCCCCCAAACCAAAGCTCCCACATAACATGTTATTTTCTCAGGATTTGTGTATTCACAGTCCCCTGCTCAGGCCCAACTCCAGTTAAGTACTACTGCTGTTTTGCCTCGTACCACCCTAAACTTGAAATGCCACTGCTTGACAAATTTTTAGGGAAAAATATTCTCATGCCAAACATCTTATTTTTAGTCAACTCTACTAAAAACTTGAGTGTGAACAGCTCTCTTTTTATCTCTGTTTCCTTCTCCCTCCAAGGAACAAAATGAATTCTTTTCCTTTTTCATGCAAAAACTTGAGAGTGCATAGAATTGCAATACACATATGTCTGTACACAAATACACACATAACTGAAATGCAGTGGAAGAGAAACAGATACATGGAGTTCATCTGAGACACACCAATGGCAGAACAAACCACTGAATGTCTACAGGGTGCAGAAGGTCTCTCAGGCTGTTCTAAGTCCTGGTTGAGTTGAGTTTCCTTTGGAATCCACAAAATGTTTCTGATGAGAAACACTCATCACTACTTTTATTTGAGCTAGCTAGAAATTCCATTTCTTGTAAAAAATACTGGTTTGTTTTCCACTATTTTCAAATAGGGAAACTGAGATTTAGAGAAATTTTGACTTGCCCAAGGCAGGCATCCACTGTTTGGCCATAAGTGAAACAGCACACATGACTATAATTTCTGTGCTCTTTCCCACTTACTCACCTAAAACCGCAAATTCATTAGATATTATGGTCAATTACATCATGGTTAAGCAAATATCTATTACCTCTTCTACCCACAACATGGGAGAACGATATCTCTTTGTTTCTACCTTTCATCCCAAGAAGAACATGCCTGATTACTCCAAGGAGATGGAGAAACACATGGAGTAGATAAAATCAACATATAGCTTGCACCAAGCCCAGCCAAGCCCAGTTTAGATCAGCTGAACCCCAGACAGCTTGCAACTTGCAGGCACCGGAACAAGAAATAAATGCTTACTTTTGTATACCCCTGAGACTTGGAGTGGTTTATCACACAGAATAGATAGATATATAGATATGTAGATATATAAATAAAGATATCACAAGCAACAGTTTCACCAAATGTTTCTCCACTGAATAACATGAGTCACCGAGAAGTTTCCTAGCTATATAACACTTAACCTGAAAGCCAGTGGCACACATGGTTGGTTTTCTGTTGCCCTCCAGTTCTGGTACCAATGTTTTTATGACTCAACTTTAGTCATTTATGCTGCAGCAATAAACTGCCTGAACATCTTGTTGGCTTACAACAACAAAGTTTCATTTCTCACTGACCTTCACCCTGGCTGCAGCTCTTTTCCATGGATCTTCTTCATTCTGAGATCCAAGCTGAAGAAGAAATCCCTCCCTGGAACATACTATTCTTGCAAAGAAGGAAAAAAGCATCTAAACCTAGTGATTCCTTTTAAGGCTTTTGCTCCAACGTAGCCACAACATTTCTGCTCACATTCCATTTGGCAAATGCAAGTCTTATGACCAAAGCTGATCTATGGAGTAGGTATGTGTAATGCTCTCAAATAGGTCAAGAGGACTGAACTGAGAGCTGTAACACTACAATACCTACCAAAAGAGGAACATCTTCTTTATTCTTCAAGGAGCAGCTAAAAGTGTCATCTCCTCAGTGTCACTCTGTTAGCACATTTTTCTGCCTTTTCTATTCTGCAGCACATTTTACAACATCGAGATATATGAAAAAATACTTCCAGGGCAATGTACTGTCACCCCTACTAGTTGGTGAGCCTTTGAGGGCAGGGACTATCCTTTACTTTATTTTATTTTCCCCGGATTTAGCACAGTCTCCGGAACTTCATGTTGCAGTATTAATGTTTTCTTTAAAAATATTCGATAATTATACATGGAATCCATCATGACATCCAAGGGATGTTCAGAGAAAGTTATACAGGAAGGGAAGAGGGAAGTCCAAAAACTGTGTTTTGCATTTTTAGAGTTGATATATGTATACAAATATAAAGTAGATAAACAAGGAAAAATATAGAGTAGACAACAGAATTTAAAAGCTTTAAGTTTGGGAGACACGTCCAAGGTGGAGATATAAATTTGGCAATTGTTAGCACATAGATGGTGTTTAACGCCCTTAGGCTTGGTGATATCACCTAGGGGAAGAATAGAGAAAAAGCAGAGGTTCAGGCTCTATTTCCTGTTTCTTATCTCATTCCTAACCTGCCTCAATTGTTTCCTTGGAGAAGCCCATTGATTTCCTTAGAAATCAATCTTGAGTGAGCATAGGTTTCTCACTGGAATGGGAATATATGCGTAGTGTCAAAACTCTCCATTCCATTCTCTTTGTACCCTTAGGCTTCTCTCAGCATAAGACTGGGCTGTATTCTTAGAAGGGCCCTCAAAGGGCATTCCCTCTTAACCCTGGGACTCCTGCTGCGCGTGTCATCCCTGTCATCTGTCCATCACTCTGTTTACTCCTCTTCTCCATTTGTCATGTTGGTAGAATGTCCAACCTGGACTGAATGGGTAATAAGGGCCAGGCACGAT